GAATGGTGTGAGTTGTGTGAATGACTGGTGTGAGTTATGTGAATGACTGGTGTGAGTTATGTGAATGGTGTGAGTTGTGTGAATGACTGGTGTGAGTTATGTGAATGACTGGTGTGAGTTGTGTGAATGGTGTGAGTTGTGTGAATGACTGGTGTGAGTTATGTGAATGACTGGTGTGAGTTATGTGAATGGTGTGAGTTGTGTGCTTGTGGACTAGCCTGTTAGCAGAGTTAGTCGAGTTAGTTTGATATCTTTATTGTGGGTAGTCAAAAAGTTGAGGTACAATCCAGGGACTGTACCTCAACATTACAAATGCACATAATAGGTCCAGGGACTGTACCTCAACATTACAGATGCACATAATAGGTCCAGGGACTGTACCTCAACATTACAGATGCACATAATAGGTCCAGGGACTGTACCTCAACATTACAGATGCACATAATAGGTCCAGGGACTGTACCTCAACATTACAGAGGCACATAATGGGTCCAGGGACTGTACCTCAACGTTACAGATGCACATAATAGGTCCAGGAACTGTACCTCAACATTACAGATGCACATAATAGGTCCAGGAACTGTACCTCAACATTACAGAGGCACATAATGGGTCCAGAGACTGTACCTCAACATTACAGAGGCACATAATGGATCCAGGGACTGTACCTCAACATTACAGAGGCACGTAAGGGGTCCAGGGACTGTACCTCAACATTACAGACATATAATGGGTCCAGGGACTGTACCTCAGCATTACAGAGGCACATAATGGGTCCAAGGACTGTACCTCAACATTACAGAGGCACATAATGGGTTCAGGGACTGTACTTCAACGTTACAGAGTCACATAATGGGTCCAGGGACTGTACCTCAATATTAGAGGCACATAATGGGTCCAAGGACTGCACCTCAACATTACAGAGTCACATAATGGGTCCAGGGACTGTACCTCAATATTACAGAGGCACATAATTGGTCCAGGGACTGTACCTCAACATTGCAGAGGCACATAATGGGCCCAGGGACTGTACCTCAACATTGCAGAGGCACATAATGGGTCCAGGGACTGTACCTCAACATTGCAGAGGCACATAATGGGTCCAGGGACTGTACCTCAACATTACAGAGGCACATAATGGGTCCAGGGACTGTACCTCAACATTACAGAGGCACATAATGGGTCCAGGGACTGTACCTCAACATTACAGAGGCACATAATGAGTCCAGGAACTGGACCACAAAGTTTTGATAGATAAACAAGTTACAGCGGTAATGAAATATTTCATGTTTACATCTGGTTATAATCGTAATTAATTATTTATGCAGACATGAATTAGATTACAAAAATATAACAAATATATCAACTTATATTTTAGCAACCTCGCTTGTAAAAAGTTTAAGTGGAAATACTTTGACATTTCTTGAACATTTCTGAGTGAATTGACGCTTACAGACGCGTGCTGTGTTCTGCACTGTCAGCCACACTTTCCTTATTGGGTAATTTTACCCTCTATTCGCAGACAGCTTCTAGTATTGGCTGTCAGTGTTATTCTCCTCTTCTCAGCTCATTTTAATATCGAATTATATATTTTTTACAACTACTGCAATCTTATTTCTACCACATTCCTTGAAATGGCCTTCTGCCTGCTATGATAACTTCTTGTCTCTATGGTAACTGCTGTCCTTTTTATTTTTTTTCCTACCATGTTAATACTTGCTCATTTTCTACGCTTAGGTGAACGTTTACCTGCCACTGCGGATTAATATTTCTTGGGTAATTTTGCTTCACCCTTAGAGACGCACTCGAACCCCAGCGAGTCAGTTCATCTGTTGCTCACCTCGGATGTAGAGTGCTTCTACCCAGTGGAGTCATTCATCTGTTGCTTCACCTCGGTATGAGACGCAGCCTTCTGAACCCCAGCGAGTCAGTTCATCTGTTGCTTCACCTCGGTATGAGACGTGGCCTTCTGAACCCCAGCGAGTCAGTTCATCTGTTGCTTCACCTCGGTATGAGACCCAGCCTTCTGAACCCCAGCGAGTCAGTTCACCGCATGAATTACTGTCAGATAGTCACCAGGTCTGACTTACCTACTCAACAAGACGTTAACTTCATTAGTGATACATACTGCTGCATTATATTGCCTTCTCAGAGTAAGTTTTAACTTCTTAGTAATGTGTAGGTTACTAAGACGTTAATTGCTCCGAAATCAGTAACAGCGGGCACTAACAGCTTGATTGATCAAGCCAGCAGCCAGGAAGGCCTGGTGACCCCCGGCAACGACTACAGGTAGTCCTTCACTTCATTTTTTTAATTGTAATAAGCCTTAATAACCAATGCAATTTTTTTGACACATCGGCCGTGTCCCACCGAGGCAAGGTGACTCGAAAAAGAAAGAAAAACTTTCATCATCATTCACCCAATCACTGTGTTGCCAGAGGCGGGATGATACGTTGAGGGATCTTGATTCAAGGAAGTGGAGGCATTTTGTTTTCCGTTCCAGGATCGTGTCTGACTTATCCTGTTTTCCATTTCCTATCGGACGCCCTTGGGATTTACCCGTTTTCCTCAATTATGATATCCAGGGTGAGTTACTCTTATGTGTTTAGCGCTCCTCAGTAATTAGTGCTTTATATATTATTTTCTGGTCTTAATTATCATCTGGACGCTGTGGGCTAATTATAATAATTATAATTATAATTATAATAATTACCTACGCTAATTATATTATAATTATAATATTATATATTACCTACGCTACTATAATTATATTATAATAATTATAATAATTACCTACGCTAATTATAATTATAATTATAATAATTATAATAATTACCTACGCTAATTATAATTATAATTATAATAATTATAATAATTACCTACGCTAACTATTTTATAATGTATCATTCAACTTCACTTTATTATTGGTCTTTCCCCATCTACAATATACTTCATTTTTCTCCCCATTACTCCCCACACTCGCCCCTCGGCCAAAACTCTTTAATAAACGCCCCCAACCACTTGCTTTCCCTATTTCCCCCCCCCTCCCCTACGACTCTCTTCCCCTCGGCCACCAGCCCCTCACGACTCTCTCTCCCCTCGGCCCATCACACACGCCTCTCACACCCTCATCAAGACTCCTCTTTAATTATCCTCTCGTCACGTGACTAAGAGTCTTAGTAAGACCCGAGTCACGGGAAATTTTCATAGTTTTTTTTTCCGCCCCCCCCCCTCGCCCCCCAGGAACAAAATACCACCACCATCCTAGACATAGTTCCTCTCTTCTTTACGCCTTCGTTCTTGTTCCTCTCTTATTCACTCCTTTGTTCTTGTTCCTCTCTTATTTACTCCTTTGTTCTTGTTCCTCCCTTATTTACTCTCATAAGGAAGGGCAAATATAACTTATTATTTTTCTTCGTTTTGTTAGGTACAGCAGATGGAAGCATTTACTGGTTTATCGCGGCTACGTTTCGCTTACCAAAGCTCCTAGTGAGTGAAACGTTGTAGCGAATGAGTGTCTTATTAGTTACACGTATGTTTGGTCACCTAATATTATAGATATCCTCACTTATAATAAACTTTCTTAGCTCTTCTTACTGTTCAAGGCTCATCATTACGTGGCCTGGCACACTAAAGCTCTTGGTCCCAGTATGTCATTTGGATAAGGTTCACAATCAGTTAATATGGGCATGCACCTAGACGTTTCTGTCTGTCATGAACCATTATCATGTCTAATAATGTTCCAGTAGGACCAACTTTTTATATCTACAAATCAGACAGTGAGTGAGGACTCGAACCCGCGGCAGGAGAGTCCTGCAACACGCAGGCCGGTGCGCTAACCGCTTGTGTTATTAGGAATTAGTCGTTTTGTAGGAATTCAAGAGTTTTGTACTTATTTAGCAACTTTTGATTACCTATTTGCAGCTAGACGCAAGGTTCTCCTGGCAGAGTGCAAGCTAGGTGTCCCGGGTTAGATTCCCGGTTTGTCGCAGTAATGTATTTGCTTAAAAATCACTTTCTGTAGTTTGCTGAGTTTGTTTATTTATCACTAATTTTAGGAAACACAAATTGAATACCCGGCTGCTGCAGTTTTTCAGTCCATAACTGTGGCTTCTTTCTGACCATTTTTCAGGTAGTAAAGCGTTTGATGAATTAGACATGTGTGTAACATATGAGTATCTTTATTTTGTAGTCGTTTCGCCCACCGTGCTTTTATCCATTAGTGCAGGGCAAACACGAAAGACTGAAGAGGTAGAATTTGAGGTGATCAGTCCCTCAAACTGACAGCAGGTACTCGGCAGTGTTCATATGATTTTTTCACACTATACTCCTTTGGAAAATTAATGACCGATTTGAATTCCTTATGTATCAAATACTGTTTGTAGTCTTGTTTCGTAGTGTGTGTTTGATGTTTGTGTATTGTGTTTGTGATATGTGTTGAGTGTGTTTAGTGTGTGTTCTGTATGTAGTGTGTATGTGTTTGTGTTTTGTTGTGTGTGTGTGTGTGTGTGTGTGTGGTAATGTGTGTCGTGTGTGTGTGATGTGTGTTGTGTGTTTTGTGTGTGTGTTTTGTTGTGTTGTGTTTGTGTGTTTTGTGTGTGTGTTTGTGTGTGTGTTTGTGTGTGTGTTTGTGTGTGTGTTGTGTGTGTGTTTGTGTGTGTGTTTGTGTGTGTGTTTGTGTTGTTGTGGTGTTTGTGTGTGTGTTTGTGTGTGTGTTTGTGTGTTTGTGTGTGTGTTTGTGTGTGTGTTTGTGTGTGTGTTTGTGTGTGTGTGTGGTGTTTGTGTGTGTGTTTGTGTGTTGTGTGTGTGTTTGTGTGTGTGTGTTTGTGTGTGTGTGTTTGTGTGTGTGTTTGTGTGTTTGTGTGTTTGTGTATGTGTGTGTGTGTGTGTGTGTGTGTGTGTGTGTGTGTGTGTGTGTGTGTGTTTAAACAAAAGTCTTAACAATTGTCTTACACCTTTTTTTAAATTTCTCAACATTGTTCGTGCATCTCTTGGGTATAATGAAGCATCTTAAGTAATGATACAAAATACTATACATTTATTAAAAAGTTATATCACAGTTTACATGTGAGGTCAGAGGATGGTCAGCAGACAGGTCAGAGCAACACAAGTAGATGATATCACTGGAAATATATTCAGGAGGTCGGTGGATGACCCATGGGTAGTACAGTGAACTTTTTTTTCGCCTCCGTCATCACCACGAAACATGACTAACACAGGATTTACAAAAACTGATCAAAAAAGGATCCGGTAGTGAGATGTGGAAGCTTCAGGCAACCGAGGACAGTTTGGTTGAAAGGTTCTCTAAATGTTCCTTTCCAAAGTTTGGGAAGTTTTTGAAGTGTTCCAGCCACGGAAGAGAGTTTGGCAGCTGTGTTGGTTATTTTACTCCATCGTGTGAGCGTTATTTACCCCATGCCTGTCCTGTAAGTGTTAATCACCACGTACCCATGCTGTGGGCCTCATTCCCCTCATACCCATCTAGTGGGCAGTAGTTAAAAGATTAGACATAGCCCCCCACACACAGGGGCTAGGAGCTATGACTTGACCCCTGCAACCACAGTTAAGTGATTACACATACGGATCCAGGGAGAGCCTCATCCAGTCACACTGCGACTTTCATTCTACTTACAAGGTCTTTATCCTTAATTGGGCTTATCAAGTCACAAGGGCGAAACATCAATAATCACTATACTGCCCTTTTCTCTACCCAAGGTCTCGCTCGCCTGGGCTATCACTGAACAATAACATACGTTTCTCTGCTCACCGCTACTGTAAGGATGAGGAAAGAATGAAACTTGAGGACATATTTCTCACTAGATAACCAAACACCGTTCTAAAATAATCTGACAGATCGGCAAGTGCACTTACGTAGCGAGTCTCTGGCTAACATAGGACGGAGGATCATGGGCGCCCACAACTCCTTTTGGTTGAACACCCAAACGATTCACTTTTCGTATAAATATAGCACAAGTATAGTATAAAAAGAGATGTACATTCTAGTATATTAGAGGTAGTTGCCACGTAAGCTCGCAACAAGCGCTACATAACGACCCAGTTTGACATCGCGAGTTCTCTTATCCACATTACACGAGGACCCATAACTAGGAAGCCTAGTCTGAGATCGAGCCACGGGGATGATCATCGGGACACTGGGAAGGTTAGAACTGGCTGGCCAGCTTTATTGGATGAGCTCTTCTTCTCTTCTAACATTGTTGAGAAAGGCGGAGGCCAGTAGGCGGTCGGAGAGGTCGCTGGTCGTCTTGTTGATGAACTTGTACTTGGCCTCCACTTTGGAGAAGAACTCCTTGAGGTTGGTCTGCTGCAGCATCTTCGCCAGGTTGTCGTGGTCACTGTGGTGGGGCATGCAACACGTCAACAGCACTGACACAACACACATTGCAACTCATAACACATACAAATGGCAATTTGAGCAACATGCTAAAGAGGTCTCCAGACTGAGGTAATGGAGGTTTGGTGACCAAATGCTAAACTAAATAGATATATACCAAATTATATATATAAAGCAAATTGAAAGCAATCGTGTATAAGAATCTTTAGCGGTAGAAGCAGTAGAAGATTTTTAAAGAATAAATTGTATTATTTGTCACATCTAATTTAAGTGGACGTCGGGCTGGTCAGTATAGAGGTACTGTTTGTGTTTCTTTAAACTATATATTTTGTATATTGAGGTTATCTCTATATATGCAGACACATATAGAGACTGGCAGACAGCAAGATATTGACTTTCAAGTTCCCGACTCAATATTCCTCAACACACATTGCAACAGTGAATACTGACCAGCTGTGACTTAAGAAAAAGCAGACATGAGTAAGGAACATCTATAATGGGTAAAGAGGCTATGGAGTGGGCAGCACTTACATGGTGGGGGAGTTAACGGAGAGGTTCTCCTCTTCTGTGGTTTCTGACGTTGTGTGGCGTCTCTTGCTGGTGGCTGTAAACAAAAAAATTTTTAATGGTCTTTGTTTTAGTGTTGGTTTATATGGATTTCAGTTTATCGAGCATAAAGAATTCTGAAGTTAGATAATTAAGAAAATTATAGCTTTAAATGGTGATTTGTCTTGTTAAATAAGATGTTTATAAAAACTGAGACGTACACGTTCATCGGTGTATAGACAATGGGATATACACCTCTCGCTGTATAAACGCATATCCACACATTTATATACCTGTCAGTGTATATACCATTTGAGAGTAAACATGGGAATGACTTTGTAGACGACTGTAACAAATAACCAAGTAAGATCACTGAAGCAATTATGATAGGCAACTTTTAAGACCGGAATGAAAGGTCCATAAGTGGGGAATGGTTTGGTGTGAGTTACATCTGTGTAGTCTGGGTCATTAGGTTTAAAGCTTAGCGAATGTACGAAAGACATTAAAACTGCATATCACTTGAACACCACTAGTTAAGAATGCTTTAATCCATGATGAAATGTGTATTAAAACAAACGCTTAGCGTATATACACTGAGATACACACCTCTCGGTGTATTTACTTTTGCTGCGGGTCTAATTTTCTTGTACTATATTTACACATGCCTGAGAACTCACAAGGAAGACTCCTGACGATTTTAGGGTTGTAGATCTTGGGATCAGAAACCATTCGAACGAAGAAGGATCTCTTGTAGCGAAGACTCTTCTTGCTCTTCTCCTCCAGCATCTGCAAGACATCGTCTGTGATCTCCAAGTTCTTCTCTTCTTTCTTCTCAAGTTCTTCCTCATTTTCAATAGTCTCTTCAATCTGAGACCGTACGAGACAATATCAGTGAAAAGGCTTTAGAGTAGAACTTTAATGCGTTATCTATACAGTAAAATACGGACTTTTTAAGGCCAGAAGAGCACAGTAAAATGCCTGAAACTTTGTGTACAGCATAAGGATTATAAATATTTATAATTGCCTTTGAAAAGAAATTTAATATTGAACAATGCCTGGTCAAAATCTGGGGTGGAGGATCGAGCCTCTGGCACAGGGATTAAGAAGTTGAATGATCAACAAGGGTTCAAGACTTCATGAAATGAGACACACTGTAGAAAGACGTTAACTTACAAGGAAGAACGTACCTGGATCTTCTCGATTTCGTCCTGTATATCTGTAGCGAAGTCTGTGATAACGTTCCACGCATATTCTGTGGGGAAGACATCGTTGCATTACATATACGTTTGTATCACAATTTTGGCTCTTTGTGCAACATCTATAGTTTTTTCCCCTCATTTTATTAATCTGTATTCAGTGAGTGAATAATAAACCATTCGAACAATATTTTTCACAGTGGTGTAAATACATTCGTTGGGAAGCGCTTAACTGAGATCCCCAGCACCTGGAGGATGGTAGGTAAACAGATGTTATTCAAGGGAATAGTAGCTGGAATTCCCTGGCTCGGCTGTCATTCACCAGCAGCCAGGTACTCTACCCTGAAAGCTAAGAAGGACGTTGAACCAACTCACCAATATCTTCGTCAGTAGCAGTCTGGCGGCAGACGCAGAAGCGGATGACATACTTGTCGTTGAGGGAGGCTGGCACCATGTGTAGCTTTCCTGAAGCGTTGATAGAAGAGAGGAGTTTTTGGTTGAGCTGGTCAGAACCTCGCAGTCTGTGGCCAGGGAGACAAGTTAGAAGCTGCTGTTACCTTAGTTCATTATTAGGTAAAAACAAGTCAGGCCCCAGGAGCGACCTCCAGGAGTAGAAAATCTCTCAAAACCCGTCAGATATATATGAGCAATTAACGAGATATTTATTGGAGCTGTATCTCTTTCCAGGAACTAAGACAATCCTATAGGCTTGACCCAGCTACTGGTGAGCGAGACCTAGCCGTAATAGGTCTAATTAATTGCTTACGTGACCTTTTACCTAATATTTTGTCAATAATGTATATACATTGATACTTTGATCGGACGTTGTAGTCAGTAATATTTAAAATGTAACAATACTGTGGAATAATTCCCAACTATATCACAAAATTGAAACAATCAGACGATTTTTCTGCCGCTCCTGGGCGATTAAAGTCACTAGCGACTTTGTTCAAGACAGAACGAAAACTTGTCTCGTTCGGTATCCATTTTGTGGGTTACTTGTAAAGGAAGTCACACTTTGAGCTGTGAATTTTTGGTAATACAAACTCTTGTTTACGAACTTAGGCCAAAGAATGTAGATAAATAGTTCAGAGAACTGACAAATTGATAAATTAGACACAAGTGCATGAATTTGAGGTACTCAGCCCCTCACTCCTGATCTATACCATTCTTCTTTGTATTGGACTGATGAAGCCACTGTGTGGCGAATCGTTTCCATAATAAAGATACCCAAGTGTTGCATATGTCTAATTTATCATACCAAAGAATAAAGACGACATTCTTCTAACTGAATCACGAAATCGTAATGACATGATTGCAAACAAACCTTACCACGGGCGGGGATAGAACCCGCGATCAGAGAGTCTCAAAACTCCAGTGGCTAACGCGACGGTCTGGAGTTTTGAGACTCTCTGATCGCGGGTTCTATCCCTGCCCGTGGTATGGTTTCTTCTAACTGTTCATATTTTTGTACTGCAGGAGTGTTGGTGAGCTTACCTGAAGCAGACAAGACCGAGGTTCACCGGGCTGGCCAACTCGAACCTACGCTCCTTTCTGACGAGGGTCTCAAACTTCCTTGCGAGGCGGCAGTGCTCGCGGATGTAATTCTGGAGTCCCTCAACACCGAAGGAGCGGATCACAAACCATAGCTTGAGTGCTCTGAACCGACGGCTGAGTGGGATCCCCCAGTGCTGTACACGGAGAGCAAGTACATTACACACGACTCTGAGTGACGAGGCGAGTACAAAAATGCAGCATTTCTAGAACGTACGGACACTTAGGGAACCAGAAAAATGGTAGGGTGATGCCTAATTACAGTTCAAGACTGTGTGGATGGCAGCTCATGTTGTCAGTACTACTTTATGCATAAATATCTAATAACGGACGGTGAGGAGAGTGGGAAGAGAGCCTTCTGCTTTACCATATTTTCCTCAACCATCTAGATAACAATAACTCTAATAATGTTTCCGAAGATCAACCCATCTCTCCATCTTTTGTAATTTAAAAGGCCTCATACCTCTTAGATTACAAAGGCAAACTCGTATAAAAATAAGGAACACAGGGAGACAATAAAGATGTGTGTTTACTGAAAGTAAGAAGTGTAGATGTTGATGCTGCTAAACAGTGACTAGAAGAGATGGTCAGATAAATGGTATAAAATAGGGACACGATGGAAAAATAGACAAATGCAGTATAATGCGATCCTCTATTGATTACGTTTCGCCCACACAGTGAGTTTTATCAAGTCACAGAGATCTATCCGGAAAAGAGTACATGATTATTTACCCAGGTAGATCTGCGAAATGTAATCATTAAATTATCGCATTTTACTGTATTGGTGTTAACTTTTCCATGAAGGTGCTAGATTAACCAGGCTGTGATAGACATGTTGAGCTGCGGGCCAGCAATAGCCTGGTTGACCAGGCTAGCACCAGACGAGCCTGGTCCATGGCCGAGCACCGGGAGTAGAAAAGCCTCCCTGAACTCATCAAAGGTATACAAGGTAAAGAGGTGGGGGGATGGGATAAGTATTGCTGTGACTTACCCTGTAATCAATAGATTTCTCCGAGTATGAGTGCTGAAGGTAGAGTGGATCCACCACCAGCGCTTGAGTCAGACGGAATCGATCCTTCACCCTGCAACACAATACAGACGTGTAAACACGGGTTACAGTCGCAGTTTTAAGAGTACGTATGACTCCGACACATGTGCAACACTCGGGTATCTCTAAAGATAGTTAAGTGTTACACATGAACTTAGACTACACAAATAACCCGCACATCGTGTTATTGCGATTTCGTAAGAGAATGAATCTTAAGACGACGCTTCGGACCGACTTGAACCATTAACTAGTCGCACAGAAGCACGAAGGGAAGGGAACTAGGAAGTAAGTTGATGCTGGGAGAGAGTGACAGAAGACAGATTAGTAACAGTCAGTAAGGGAGAATCTGGACCAACGGCTGTAGGAGATAAGATGATTCTGTAGGCTAGTAAAGTGAATTTGCAAAATCAGAGTTGGAACAATTACAACTGAACTACAACTAAGTGCATATGAACACACACTTGGGCAAAGTGAACTGGCAGAAACAGTTGAATGAACATTTATTTTAGCTAAGTAGACGCTTCCAATTTTATTACTAAAAATATGAAGATACTGAAAGTTCGGTCAGTTTTTCTCCAAAATGCATTTGAGATTGAATTTTTTTTTTTAAATATGGATTCTACGATATAACATTTCTTGGGTTTATGCTTTTTTTTATTATATATAGTGATAAAACACATTTGGGTGTTAACTTACCACATAAGTGAACAGTCAAAGTTAGTCAGCATAAACTTGTTAGGATTGAAGTTGAACGACGATGCGTACTGGAAACAGAAACAAACACGTTTTAGTATAAGGAAATGAGGTCTTGTGTGGCTGTGTATTGTCTGTATGGCTGTGTTTGGTATGTGACTGTATTGTCTGTTTGGTATGTGACTGTATTGTCTGTTTGGTATGTGACTGTATTGTCTGTTTGGTATGTGACTGTATTGTCTGTTTGGTATGTGACTGTATTGTCTGTTCGTATAACTGTATTGTATCTGTGTGACTGTGTATTGTAACCTGGTAGCTGTGTGGTTAATACTGAGAGGCAATAGTTTGATCTAACTTAATATAGAATTAAACCATTTTAATAATCTTTGTCTTTAGAATGTTGATACTACTTTTTGCCTTCAAAAGATGGGTTGGTTTCTGGTGGGTTTATTTGTGGTGGTATTGGTTAAATGGTTAGTGAAATGGCTAGTTGGTTCAGATTTATTAAGTTTACTACCTCGTGGATCTGTAAATTGGTTAGGGTATATTTATTTTGGTTATTGGTTGAATTGGTAGTCAGGATGGGTTGAGTTACTGACCTCTATTCCCTTCATGGGTCCCCTCAACTCCGGGCAGATGAAAGAGTTTCCTCCGTAAGCTCCATCAACATGCAGCCAGACACCGAACTCCTCACATACGGGACCTACAACACAGCCCTTGGTCAACACCCTAATGCAAGACACTCGGTGAAGATGGTGATGCAACACTAAACGATTCACCTTCAACGAAGATGAAGCACAAGAAGATGGCAGAGAATAATAAATTTTATTTCTACGCAAGCAGTTAAGAGAGTGAAGTGCTTTATCGCGCACACTATATACGTGTGTTGATTTCGAGTCAAGGATACTGTTCTCTGAGCAGTGACGTGGCTTGAAGACTCAAAAATAACCACTAAGGAATATATTATCAAAGATGTACTAAGATAAGCAAAAACTTTGGGTGGAGAGGAGAGCATGAATATGCTGGGAAATACAAGAAAAATGTGACTGAAAATGGGATGCAAGAGAGTGGAAGAGGAAGGAAAGTTCTCACCGATCTCAGCGAGGTTGTCGAAGGAACAGCAAGAGGTGGTGCCCAGAGTGGTCTCTACGTAGAAAGGGACGAGACCAGAAGCTCGGTCCTCTTCCATCACCTGTGAAGAACAAAATAATAAGTGGAGGAATACTGAAGCAGACCTACTTGCCCATACAAGGCAGGTGTCAGCCTGAGTTACATGGTACAGGAAAACAGAAGTTTTAGAACTCGCTTGCCATGGGCTTAAACCTCCACCCGCTCTGTGATTTCTTTGCAATCGTGTTATTACGATTTCTTGAGTCAAGTGAGGTGAAGATATAGAAATCATGTGTCGATATTACAGCTAAGTTCTTTAGCACTTGTGAATTAGTTTACATTAGTAAGTGAAAGGGAATATATTAAAAGTTTAAGAGTGTGGGTAGTAGAGTGTATGTGCGTGATGGTGCTGGTAGAGTGTAGAGCTGACGACAGGGGAATGTTACACACACACACACACACACACACACACACACACACACACACACACACACACACACACACACGCAGACACACACACACGCAGACACACACAGGAAGGAAGAAAAATGAAATAATGTTGGCCCCCGGGGGTAAGAATGTTCACCCACCTGCTGTAAGGTGGAGCCCCTGAGACTCTGGTTCTCGTCAGGTTCCAGGATCCTCAGCTTGACAAAGGCCATCATGGCAGCCTTCTCGACGCAAGAGTGAGCTTCCTTGCTGCAGTACGCCATCATCTTGGACAGCAGCACACCTTCTTCCACGAAGGGATGCTGCTTCTTAAGCTGGTGTATGGTGTGGGCGCGGGCGGCCAGGAGAGACACTAAGACACACTCCGACGCGGAACCCTGTGTAAGAACTATATTTTAGGGAAAACATTGACTCGTATAGGCTACGAGGGTATAGGCAGAGTAGTTGCAAATTTTCCAAAATCAACTTAGTAAATAAACTTGTAACTATTGATTTTTGTGCAATAACTGGAAGCATTATTATTAAAATAAGAACATAAAGGAGGAACACTGCAGCAGGCCTGTTGGCCCATACTAAGCAGGTCCTTCACAATCCATCCCACTAACAATATTTGTCCAATCCAATTTTCAATGCTACCCAAGCAATAAGCTTTGATAATTCTATTTACTTATGTGCAAGTCCCACTCAATTCCAACCCCTCTCACTCAGTAATAAGAGGGAAAAACAGGAAGCAGAAATAATATTAGACGGTAGTGTTAACGGAACAGTAATAGTAATGGATCAATAATATAAATAACAAAGAGGTGATATTGGTCAAATGGTAATAATGATCAAAGAGGGAATTTTAGTGAAATAATATTAATGTGGTATTATCAAAATTTAATCCTGATCAAGAGATGTTATGACTTCTAGAGAAGCAATGTTGCACACACTGGTAGTGTCCCAGCTCAATAAAATCTGTTTGAGATTTTGTCGCCGAGACGGCTAGTTTACTGTGCACCCGACATTCACCCTGTGGACGGTAGTGGCTAGTTTACTGTTCACCCGACTTTCACCCTGTGGACGGTAGTGGCTAGTTTACTATGCACCCGATATCTATCCCGTGGAAAGTACGTGAGAGCACATGGAGAGTGCCTAGGCACTAGACCCTGAAAGAGTTAACACGAGTACATCTGGGCTTGTATCTACAATTGCTTTATTTATTGCAAGAAGTTTTAGGAAATATGCTTATGTCCGATATCGTATTTTTCAAGGAAAGCTACACATTATTACTGTTATAATTAGCTATAGAGCTTCGTTTTTATTATAATAATAATTAGCTATAGACTTTGTGTGTGTGTGTGTGTGTGTGTGTGTGTGTGTGTGTGTGTGTGTGTGTGTGTGTGTGTGTGTGTGCAACCACACACGTTCTCGTATGTGGTTGCAGGGGTCGAGTGTATATTTTGCTCTGAGATGTGCCACACAGGAATCAACACACCACGACTGGCGTACAACACAAGTCTTTCTCTCTCAGACGCGAAACAGAGATCAACATAAATATAACAAGTAATCTGTTGCTAACACAATTTTACCTAAAAAAGAAAGTAAGATATGAAAGATAAGAAGTCTCTCTCACTGTCTGGCCTGATTCCTGTGATCCTTGAGGCAAGGTCAGCCGATAATATATCTTAACCCCCTTACCTTCCTTCACATCAAGACATTTCTTAATGCCTTCTTATCGTCTTCAAGGTACTTCCTCAAACCTCCTTACCTTACTTTTCTCATCTACCTCCCCTAGAACCTTGAGACCACGGCATTCTATTTTCAATTGCCTCCCCCCCCAGTCACCCCCCTAACCACCATCCACTGTGGATTTTAACATTTTTCATTAAGGTTTTCCCCTGTTTTTAAAGAGGTTTAAAGCCTATCGACTTGACAAGTATTATTTAGTCACTTCTAATTATTGCCTTTTGTCTGTCTTATTTAGTATGTTTTTTTAGTGCCTTTTTAGTGCCTTCCGTCTCTTCTGCTTCACCTCTACGATCAATTTTACATAAGTATGTTAGTTAAATCTTAGCAACTATAATCCTGAAGGAGTTCCAGTAATGCTAATCTGGGAAGTTGATCGACGAGAGACTTGAAACTTTTTTTTTTTTTTTTTTTTTTTTTTTACAAAACGAGAAAATTCTAAGATCATGTCAGTGTCCTCGCATCATTTAACTTGGTTGAGTTGAGTCTTTGTTGTCGAGGTTCAACTCAGGAGCGATCATTGTGTAGGGTAATGGCAGCATCGATCTGTGTGTGTGTGTGTGTGTGTGTGTGTGTGTGTGTGTGTGTGTGTGTGTGTGTGTGTGTGTGTGTCTGTGTATGTATGTGTCTTTTTTTTTACACAGTCATTCATCATCGGTCACTGGCGACCAACCGGTTATCAACAGTAAAGAGGGAGAGGTGTAGTAGGGAGGAGAGAGGGGTGAATAGGAAATCTGATTGCTGGGTAGAGAGGGGTGTCAGGGATGTGGTAAATGGGGTGCTGTGAAACTGACTGGTGTTATGGTGTTAAGAGGCACGTAAGTTCCCCCCGTCTTCTAATAACATGTTCATTTTTCCACTGTAATCTACCTTGCATGCTTCTTAAGAGGGGTGCGAGTGGGGGACTGAGTGGCTGGATAAGACAATCACACAGCACAACCCATCCGGTATCATAAAACAGTTCTAATCTGCTTATCTGTGCATTCACCTGGGAGGATATATCTTTGGTTACCTGTATAACTCCACCACCCTGGGAGACACTGTTTCTCACCTGTATGACTCCGCCACCTTTGCTGTTCTCACTGAATGAGAGGAAGTCCTCGGGAAGTCCCACCATCTTACCTGTTGGGTAATAGTGAGTTATCTGTGGGTGACAGTGAGTTATCTGTGGGTGACAGTGAGTTATCTGTGGGTGACAGTGAGTTATCTGTGGGTGACAGTGAGTTATCTGTGGGTGACAGTGAGTTATCTGTGGGTGACAGTGAGTTATCTGTGGGTGACAGTGAGTTATCTGTGGGTGACAGTGAGTTATCTGTGGGTGACAGTGAGTTATCTGTGGGTGACAGTGAGTTATCTGTGGGTGACAGTGAGTTATCTCTGGGTGACAGTGAGTTATCTGTGGGTGACAGCGAGTTATCTGTGGGTGACAGCGAGTTATCTGTGCGTGATAGCGAGTTATCTGTGGGTGATGTTAATAATTGTCAAGTGTTTCACCTTGAAGTAATAGGAAACTATCCAGTGACCCGAACACTCATTCCACTTCACTGATGAGCACTTTGCATGGTTTCAAGAAGTGGTTTCAGACTCCTTTACTAAAACACAAATTATGAATGCTATTGTATTGGTCTTATAGAAACAAAGACAGAAATATTATTATTATGAATTTCTAAAAAGTAAATTTTAAATATTGCATCTGCTCTTTGAAATGCAATGAGATGGTGGAAATATTATATAAAAGGAAAACTGAAAGAGGCGAGACAACATCTCAAGACAACAGACGAGATGGGGAAGAAATCGATACTTGATGCATAACTGTCATTGATAGTGACAGGTAGAAGACGAGAGGTGGAGAGGTAGGAATAGCAGGTAGGGAGAAAGAGGGGGTGGAGGATTGGAGAGAGGATTGGAGATAGGATGTAAGTGAATGGAAGGAACTGTAGTACAGATACTGCTACGTACCGAGCCAGTCCAAGACAATGGTCTCCAGTTCGGTACAGGCTGGGGATGCCGCCCAGGAGAAGCCGATGCAGCCGATTCCATCACTAAGCATGTCTCCCAGGATGCTGGGGTAAGAGTTACCAGAGGGGAAGTAAGCATGGAATCTCGGATGCTGCCAGTGTGTTACCTGCCGTGTGTCAACACAACTCGTTACTACACAGTGGACCACCACATAACACTACAGTACACGGTGAACCACCACCGCAGCTCTCTAGTACACATTGTAACGTTACCTGGGTACACCCTTATATTACTTTAATATATATTAAAAGGGTCAGTTAAAGCTATAATCATTTCCCTTAATTACATAATCATCAGTGAATATTATAAGAATTTTGATAATTCTAACTTTTTAAATAATAAATGTTCCTCCAGGTATATACGTTTAGTGTGGTGGTAAAAACAGAATTAAAGAGGCACAATAATAGTGGTAGAAATGAGTGGAATATTTTCGTTTACTAATATTTATAAATTTAAAAAAATCAACATTTTCACATGCAACTATTTTCAACTTGGCATTTTAAAAAGAAATACAGACTTCGCTTGTGGACAGATCTGTCCACAGGCAAAACATCTCGGTAAAATTCCTCTCCGGAACCTCGTCTCTTTCAAGATTTCACTGACAATACAATCAAATGCAATACAAATATATAGGAGGGGTAATGAGAGGTCGACTTACTCCGGGCATGATTTTGTTCTCAACGTCTTTCATGATGATGTCCCAGTCTTCCGGGTGTTGTGGAGCCTCGAGAGGCACTAGGTGTTTCAAGTACCCGGGTTCAATGGCCGGAGTCACCCGCCTGTCTTCGATGGTGTCCAGGTAGTCGGCTATGTAGTCCACCATCTCCTTCCCTCGCTTACGGAATTCCTCTGAATTCATGCCTGTTGTTGGGGCCGTTTTGGTTGTGGTGGCGGATGTGGGACTGGTGATGGAGGTGCTTGGTGCTGTGGGGACAATGGTGGTGGTTGATGCTGTGGGGACAGTTGCGGTTGTGTTTCCGGTTGCTTTATGAACGGCAGTGGTGGGTCTTGCGGTTGTTAAAGGGGTGGTTTCACTCGCAGGGTTTTCAGTCTTTAGTCGTTTGTTTCTCTTTATGGTAAACAACTGTCTTTCTTCCTGGACAGGTATTTGTTTTTCAGGTTGGTGATAATGTGTTTTCGTAAGGAGCACGCTGTTCTCTCGCCTGTAAAAGAATCAAGATATTTATTGCCAGACTGGTTGCATAATTTAAGATGACTCAACGATACAGACTTAACACAAAAAATAATTTTCCTTTTTTAATTGGAAAACGCTAAACCCGTAAAGATCATTCAGCGCTTTGGGCACTGGAAGTAATCAGGTTAGATGCAAAAGGGTTACTCTAATTCCTTGGGCTAAGAGGCCTTAACAGCATCAAGGTACTCTTCTTGAAGAGGTTAGAGGGAGAGGAAAGTTGCCTCATTATATGGAAGGGGTTTTTTTAATAGCTGAAACTAAAAACGTACAAGGATTCGGGGAAATCGGTTAGTCGGACTTGAGTCCTGGAGGTGGAAAAAAGTGCATGATAAACACATGTATTGATCGTGTAGGGATGAATGGCTGATGTTGTTACCACTAACTGCTGAGAAATGCTGGTAAACAGAAGACGAGGGGAGACCCACTTGGCCTTGAGAAGACGACCTCCTTGTGCGAGAATCCTAACTATCTCTGATGGAGTCGTGATGACTTCAACCGTGGGAGGAGGTGGATGGAGGAGGGACATAGACGGGAGGGGAAAGAAATAAGTTGGACCAAGAGTAAAGAAGCCTTGTAAACCCCCTGGACGGTACACCACACACACTTAATCTGAGAGCTCAATAGTTTACACTGTTGTGTGTTACTTAACTAGTGTAAAAGAGGGCGAAGCGAGGCATTATATGCCCTTTCTCCTCGACTCCCTCCCTGACTTCCTCCAGCCCTCACATCCCTCCCTATGGTCCTCGCCCACAATGAGACGCGTGCCGGGAATTCTCAGCCCTCAGGAATTCCCAGCTCTTAGGAATTCCCACTCTTGTATAATATATGGACTCCCGACTTACATTCCCACCAAACTCATCAAATCGCCGCCTTATCCAACGCCTTAAGATGTTGTTGGTTCTACTGAGCTTTCTACTTGCCTTTTTGTGTAATTTTTTCTTCTGGAGAATTTCTAGAAATGACCCATGTGTACGTGTGCACGCGTATACGTACGTACGTATACTAGCTGTAACGTCTAATGAGTGAACGTTTACATACATATGGAAGAAATCCCAATAATCCCGTGATTGCAAATTTATAAAAATACCTGTGAAAATTGGAAAAACACCTGAGTGCTTTCATGTGCTTACACACATCTTCCGATCTTCTGAATGCGTGTAAGCACATGAAAGCGCTGTCACTTACGAGATTATATATACCTGTCTGCTAGCCACAGCCTGAAGAGCTATGCAAGCATATATACACCGTGCAGTGTATATCAGTGTATATACACCGAGTTGCTTTAATTTTCTCCCAAAAATGAGATTAAAATATTCCCGACTAGTAGTGAACAGTTTACATGCAGCCTTAGACACTCGTGTAGTCGATAGGCCTTAACCCAGTCAAAACACCAGAGCTCTCCTCGTTTCCCCCCCCCCCCCCGTTCTCAGTGTTTGTAATCACAAGAGCAGATCCACACCCTGGTGTCCAGTCTTCAGTGTTTTTAGTTACATTATCACAATTAGTTTTAGCAAGCAGTCCCCCACAGTCAACTAACTCCCTGGCGCCTATTTTAATACTAACTGAACGTCGGCAAGCAGGTGTATACGTGGATGATTTAAAAGGCGAATACCCAGATTAGTAGGTGACCAAGTGGGTGGGTAAGTGGTGTGCTAATGACCGACATTCTGATTAAGCGAGTGGGTGGGTAAGAGTGTGCTAGTGACCGACATGCTGATTAAGCGAGTGGGTGGGTAACTGGTGTGAGAGTGACCGACATGCTGATTAAGCGAGTGGGTGGGTAAGTGGTGTGCGAGTGACCGACATGCTGATTGAGTGGGTGGGTAACTGGTGTGCGAGTGACCGACATACTGATTAAGTGAGTGGGCTGGTGGATGGGTTTGGTGCCGTTGGCGAGCCAAAAGAATCTTACGGAGGCGTTCTTTGGGAATCTTTCAGCAGGACTAAATTGATTTTCATTGTTGTCAGTCGCCTCTCGCATCCTTTCCCCTCCTCACTCCCCAACCAAGACCCCATTCTCGCCTTATTTTTGGGGGAAATAGAAGGTAAGAGAAGAAAGGCAAGGGGAAAGGTAACGTAAGAGAGGTAAGGAGAAAAATTAAGCTGAGAGGGGTGTTCAGAGAGAGAGAGAGAGAGAGAGAGAGAGAGAGAAGAAAGGGGGTAGCGAGTCATGTGTATACATCTTTTGAACACTAACGTAATATAAGAAAGAGATATGACATGTGTTTGTCACGTAGACGTTGAAAATGAATTATCTTTTTAATTTATTTTTTGTTACCATCATAAAAAGTTTTCCCATTCACTGTCAGTAAGACTTACGACGGTGGATTAGTAATGAAAGTAGATACCAACACGTTGGTAGAGACGAATGCATTTACATGGAATCCATTAATGACGTGTGTGTGTGTGTGTGTGTGTGTGTGTGTGTGTGTGTGTGTGTGTGCTTGCTTCATCAGACGTACTCACCTAGTTATGGTTTCAGGGGTTGATTCATAGCTATTGGGTCACAATTTCTGCCCCATGCTCTTTATCATACCTCTTCTTAAAGCTATGTATGAATTCTGCCTCCACTACATCACTTCCCAGACTATTCCACTTCCTGACAACTCTGAGTGAAGAAATACTTCCTAATGCCCCTGTGATTCATCTGAGTCTTCAGCTTCCAACTGTGACCACTTGTTGCTGTGTCCCATCTCTGGAACATCTTGTCTTTATCCACCTTGTCGATTCCTCTCAGTATTTTATGTCGTTATCATATCTCCACTATCTCTCCTGTCTTCCAGTGTCGTCAAGTCGATTTTCCTTAACCTCTCCTCGTAGGAAATACCCCTTAGTTCTGGGACTAGTCTTGTTGCAAACCTTTGCAGTTTCTCTAGTTTCCTCACATGCGTGGCTAGTTAAGATAAGAGATAAGATTTCGTTCGGATTTTTAACCCCGGAGGGTTAGCCACCCAGGATAACCCAAGAAAGTCAGTGCGTCATCGAGGACTGTCTAACTTATTTCCATTGGGGTCCTTAATCTTGTCCCCCAGGATGCGACCCACACCAGTCGACTAACACCCAGGTACCTATTTGCTGCTAGGTGAACAGGACAACAGGTGTAAGGAAACGTGTCGAAATGTTTCCACCCGCCGGGAATCGAACCCGGGCCCTCCGTGTGTGAAGCGGGAGCTTTTAGCCACCAGGCTGCATATTCCAATATGGGCTTAACGTACACAGTGTACAGGGTCCTGAACGACTCCTTATTTAGATGTCAGAATGTTGTTCTTAGGTTTGCCATGCGCCCGTATGCTGCAGCAGTTATTTGGTTGATGTGCGCCTCAGGAGATGTGCTCAGTGTTTTACTCACCACAAGATCCTTTTCCTTGAGTGAGGTTTGTAGGCTCTGACCCCCTAGATTTTACTCCGTCTTTGGCCTTTGCCCTTCCCCAGTTTTCATGGTTTTGTACTTGGTGGGGTTGAACTTCAGGAGCCATTTCCTGGACCAGGCCTGCAGCCTATCTAGACCCCCTGTAGTTCTGCCTGGTTCTCGTCCCATTGAATCCTTCCCATCAACTTCACATCATCCGCAAACAGGGACACTTTGGAGTCTATTCCTTCCGCCATGTCGTTCACAAATACCAGAAACAGCACCGGCCCCAGGACTGACCCCCGTGGAACTCCACTCAACATGCGCCCACTCTGACACCTCACCACGTACCATGACTTACTGCTGTCTTCCTGACAGGTATTCCCTGATCCATTGTAGCGCCTTCCCTCTTATCCCTGCTTGGTCCTCCAGCTTGTGCACTAATCTCTTGTGTGGAACTGTGTCAAACGCCTTCCAAGAAAATGCAATCCACCCACCCCTCTCTGTCTTACTGCTGTCACCCTGTTGTGGGTGTTGGCTGGGTGATGATATTCGTGTGTTTGGGTGAGGGTGTGGGTGTGTTTTGTGCGAGTATTGAGTGTGTTTTGTGTGTTGAGTGTGTGCAGCGTACTCACTTAAGTTTGGTTGCAAGGGGTCGAGAGAAGTGGAGAGAGAGAGTGGGGTAGAAGAGGTAATGGTAGGTAGGTGAAAAAAAGGGTGAGGGGGGTGAGGGGAATGCCTGAGGGGGTGGAGTGGTGGACCGTGTGGTGGGCCAGAGTAGGGGATGAGGGAGGAGAGACTGTGAGAGTGGGAAACCTTGAGGGGGAAGGGGAGACTGTGAGGGGAAGAGACCGTTTGCTTGTGTGTCTGTGAATGTATGGGATTGAGAGGGAGAGAGGATAAGATAAGATTTCGTTGGGATTTTTAACCCCGGAGGGTTAGCCACCCAGGATAACCCAAGAAAGTCAGTGCGTCATCGAGGACTGTCTAACTTAACTTGTCCCCCAGGATGCGACCCACACCAGTCGACTAACACCCAGGTACCTATTTACTGCTAGGTGAAGAGAAGTTTACTGATAGGTGAACAGAATGTGTTAGGATGTGTCAGTTCAACTTTCAAAAAGGTGTGAAACCTTGTGTGTGTGTGTACGCATTTATGTTTGTGTGCCCAGAAATAATCCTCCTCACTTCTTTGTATTAATAATACTAATAAAATACAAATAATTATAATACTATTGCTACTAATACTAATACTCAGCGTCTACAAGTGCTTAATTGTGGTTGCAGGGGTCGAGATTCAGCTCCTGGCCCCGCCTTGTACTCAGTTGTACTCACCTAGTTGAGGTTGCAGGGGTCGAGTCCAAGCTCTTCGCCCCGCCTCTTCACTGGTCGCTACTAGGTCACTCTCCCTGAACCGTGAGCTTTATCATACCTCTGCTTAAACCTATGTATGGATCCTGCCTCCACTACATCGCTTCCCAAACTATTCCACTTCCTGACTACTCTGTGGCTGAAGAAATGCTTCCTAACATTCCTGTGATTCATCTGTCTTCAACTTCCAACTGTGTCCCCTTGTTGCTGTGTCCCATCTCTGGAACATCCTGTCTTTGTCCACCCTG